ATAAGTTAACTGTTCAATAACAAAATAAGGATCGTTACTAAATAGGAGATTTTCTACATGCTTGTTTTTAAGATTTCTTATAGCTTCATCGTAGTCATAACTTACACTATGTTTGAGTCCTGTGCGGGTGACTTTATTATTTATAAGGGCCAGAAATATGGTATTATGATCTGTAATAGACGTATTAAGGACAGCAATGTAAGCTGATACTTTCTTATTCATTTTTAGCATAAAATGATCTAGACAGTTGGAGTCTCTGGTAGGCAAGATGTGACCCGGCAAGATAATGTGAGTAGATAGCATATTTAAATAATGCTGTCTATTTGAAGCTACGTATAATGATTCCTTTTCGCGTGGGATGAGGTTAATGTTGAGATCGCCCGTTATTATTATGTTATTGGAAGATTTTATGGTTTCTAGGTGAGTGTTTAGAGAGTTAATAAAATTAGACGCGTTACTATTAGAGGGGGAGCGGTAGATTCCTAGTATTATAGTATTTGCCAATTTTATTTGTAAGCATGTCGCTTGATCAATTGCAATTTCTCCTACTCTGGCGTTAAGGTCATTTTTGACATAGGCCACAACCCCATCGTTCTGATTTGAGTTGTTTGAAGTTGTTACCACAGTGTAGTTGGCTAGGTGGGGAGTGGGTTTGTGTGAGCTTAAGCGGCATTCAGTTAAGATCAGAATGTCAACCTCCGTGTTCAACTGTGACATTGTCAGCATGAGATCATCAAAGTTCCCATAGACACTCCTGATATTCTGTGATACGACCGTAAGATCCATCCTGACTGGTGGTATGTATTTTTTAAGCTCCTGTACGTCACACTTAACGGAATTCGCTATGTTAGTTTCATCAAGATCTTTTAAAATTGAAATTTCATCATTCATTATTTATTATATTAATTTTTACTATATTAATGATTATTGCTAGTGGAAAAATAATAACGATCCTGTATTCGTAGTGAAGCAGCGCAGCCAATATATAATTTCAGAAGTTTGTACAATATGACGATGTATTTATCAAATTTTTGTGTGGAGGAAGTGGGGGACAATTGTATACTGTATATAAAGCTTTTATCGTTTGGTTTAATATGTATTGTATGTAAAAGTTCGTACAATTACATCAACGTTTACAGAAATCGATTATCGGACAGTTTGCGAAACGGGATTCATCCCTTAATTTGCCACACTTAGAAGTGGAATATTTTCTTCAAATTTAAATGGGACCAATACTGAGGTACCCTCCCTTCAACAAACTAGAATCATCAAAATCGGTTCAGAAATGGCGGAGAAATCATACACATACACCAAAAAATACAGTCTATTAAGAACAGTCAAATTGAGATAATCTCAGTACAGAGTACTAAAAAAACCGACCTCAAAAGTACGTGGAATTACGTCTATTGGCTAAGTTTCATTGAAATATCCCCTAGTTCGCCACTATACAGAACTTGATACTGGAGATAATAAAAATAGGTTCTCATTACGACACTACTCAAAGTATATCGAGGGAAAAACGCCTTGAATTGATGTAATAGCAAAATCAACTAAATAATTGCTAAAAGTAATTGCTCCTAAATTAAAGTTAGGCGCTATTTATAAAAATGAATCTTCATGCGTGTACAGCCACCCTTTGAGGTGGATGATTTCCTTCAAAATGAAATGAGACCACTATGGAAGTACCCCTTTTCCAACAAAAAAAGAATCATCAAAATCGGTTCAGAAATGCCGGAGAAATCGCGTAACATACACAAAAAATACAGTCTTATTAAGAACAGTCAAATTGAGAAAATGGAACAAAAGTTGTTGTTTAAGATGTCAGTAATATAACCCTAGTAGGTTGTTCATGATTTAAAAATAACCGTTACGCGATTTAAAAGTCAACTCGTCGAGAATAATTCAATGAGCCTAATAGTATATTTACTAATAGTGGAGCTCCTTGTGTAGGAGATCGTCCACGGAAGTACTGCCACCTTACCTATTTTTACCACCAAGCAGTAATGTGAGAGCATTCCTGCGTTCCGTTTTTGAAGGGTAAGAAAGGTGCTTTTGAAATTACAGGCACAGGTGACTTTTCAACTTATGTCCCAGGGTGATGGGCGCAGTGGCAGTGGCCCTCAGGTCTTTGCGATTTGAAGCTCTGAGTGGCGCTGCAACTGTTAAGGACACGCACGACTTGTTCGTCGCATCACTTAGTATAACAAAAAAATATCAGACAGATATTTATAATTATAACAGATATTTTATGTAAGTAGTTCAGGAGTTGGGCAGTCTGAAGACTATCCTGGTTGCAGCGTCAGATCTATCAATCGAAATAGCCATCGGATTTCCATAGTATATCCAATTTCAAGTCGATTGGAGGAATCTTTAAGTAGCAGTAGAACTCATTGTGACAGACTTCGTCTAGAAGTACTGTCAGCTTACCTATTTCTCCCGACAAGCACTAATGTGAACATTTCTGCGTTTCAGTTTTGGAGTACCTACCGGTAAGTGCTGGTGAAATTACAGTACACCTCAGATCTTTGTGATTTAAAGCTCCTAGTGGCACTGCAACTGTTATGGACAGACGAGTAGCTTACCACTAGACGCGCGACTTATTCCTCACGTCACTAGATATTATTAAAAAAAAAATTAAGGAGAGGTACTAAATAGGGTACAATTTGGGTGCATTTTTCTGATACCAAATTTGTCAAGATCCGTTAAAGTACGCCCGTCATTCTGCCTCTTACAAAAAACCATATAAAAAGCCGTTCCGTTTCGTGGGATTCAGTTCCACTGGCTTCCATTCCGTTTTACGTTACATAATCTTAAACATTCCTACGGATTTTCTGAAAATTGTGGGTGAAAAAAATTTTATGTTAATTCAGAATTTCTGGATTTTGAGAGCTCTTTCCAAAAAAACCATCTGATAGCCGGGTTAAATTGTTCATTTACTTTAGTACCATTAACGGAACAACAGTACCGTTTTTTTACATCAGGTGTTATGAGTGGAATATTTGCACTTGCTCAATTCTGCATGAAATTAATATCGCGAAAAAAACCAACTCACGTTACAATACTCTTTTTCATTTTCCGCACAGCCACGTTTTTTTCTCTTTGTAATTTAGTCAGCGAATTGGTGGGTTTTCGCGATTGTTCGTTTCAATTTTATTGGAAACTCTCGGCGGAAAACCAATGTACGATTGAAAATGCCACCGCGGAATAATGGAATCGACTACATACAGAGTGACACGTTAAATCATGGTTCACTTTACGCCAACAGTTTAAGCCGGGTACTCATTAGCGAGCTGTAACTGTAACGTGACAGATACAGTAACGAGGTTCTAGTGTGTACGCTTGAAACAGTGTTTAATCAGACGGCTCACTGCGAACCACACGCGTTCCGCTCGCGGCAAGCTCGCGAACACACTATGATTTTTTGTTGCATATCATGCAACGGTTAGCATTGGTTCACTCGGCATTGTCCTACACGTATTCGATTATAAACAGCGGGAACAGACACGATATATTTTCATGCGTTTAAAAGACTGATAGCCGTAGTATTCACACAGCAATCGCCATGAGAACACATCTGTGATGGATCCACGCTTTGTTGCACTTTTATATTGGCTTAGAAGACGCCAACGGCTTTGCCGCCGGAAGAACGGAAGGTATTGGGTTCATTCAATGAATCAAGAAGCAGTGCGTACAAACACATTTGAAAAATTGTACAAAAATCTGAGAAATGATAAAAACATTTTTTTTCGGATATCGGTAGGCAGTTTTGACAATTTATTAAAACGTGTGGAGAATTCGAGGTTACCAAAAATAAATACGAATACTTCAATATTAGACACCGCTTGTTCAGTGACTATTCTATAGAGAACGTATGACTTTGCGCCGTGTGAAAGAGATGCATTAATACTATGCGCCATTGCACACCGAATACTTTAAAGTTCATACGATTTGCTTGACAAGTCCGTTGCGTATTCGATAAAGGTATACAGCTGTGTCCGTTTTTTTGCAGGGCAATCACCGTGTGAACGGTTCTATATTTAAGGCGTTATTCAGAGTGGCGGCGGGCGCGGGTGCGTGTACACTCGCGTGTGCGAGTGGCGTCACGTACGTCTGTGTGCCTACTTGCGTTTTTGAGTGTCGCTCGCTTATTTCCAAAATAAAAATAGTAAGCAGTATTGTTCACAAATAATACTTATAAATAAAGAACCGTGTCAGGGGGTCTACTCTCGATCTCCGTCCGATGTCCGTCTGAAACAATTACTGCCAAATAAGCAATACTTGACCAAATGAAAAGACGCGTGATGCGAATGAAGCTTCATACTGGATACTTGCCTTTTCATTTTGTCGAATATTACTTATTTGACAGTAATTGTTTCGGACGGATGTCGGAAGAAGACGAGAGTGGACCCCCAGTTTCAGTGTCGATACTATAGTACGGGAGTGGAAATAATCACGAGATTTACAACATTAAAACCATTTTTCACATCAGTAATACTTATTATTTAATAAATTCATAAGGTACCATATAAACAAAAAAAAACATTAAATATCGCCAAATACATTAACATTCCGTCAGTGTCATAAATCAGAGTAGGTACAGCGACCCCTCGCGGAAATTCATCGCACTCTTGAGTGAGGATCCTCGTGACCCTACTGTCCTTATCTGCGTTCGATATGACGGTTAAGTGCAGTGCGTGTTGCAAATTTATACCAACGCAACGGTAAAGGGCGCAAATGTCGCATGTCCTATGTGTAAAAAACAATATCACAGAGAATGTGTAGGATTGCGCAAAAATGACACTATGCCGTCATCGTGGGCCTGCCTAGACTGTAAATCCAGAATGCCCAGGAGCAACCAGGATAACACTCCTGCCAAAATGTAGGACGTACGAAGGAGCTCTCCAAAAGTCCAGAACACTGACTCACGGAGGCTATGTGAGACTGCGGGAGATTCGGAGGAACCGAGCCTCGCTTGTGAACTCCGACCTTTTCGCCTGGAGATGAGTCAGACCAGAGAGGAGCTGAAAGGCCTGCATCAGGACCTTTTTGAATTACGATCGATGGTGCGCTCCTGCGGGAATCGTCTGGATAAGGTGGAGGAAACGATGCAAACGATATTGAAGGAGAGGGTGGTGCTGGGACTGACTCTAGTTTTGCTAAGGTCATCCAGGCGCTGGAAACGAATGTGGAGAGCTTGCAGCAAGATTTAAACGATCGCAATCAGGAGCTGCTTCTGAATGAGGTCGAGCTCAGCGGCGTGGCGGAGGAAAATGGGGAGAATCCCATCCACATTGCGCTGGCCTGTGCCGCTAAGCTCGGCTTGCAGCTGGACGAGCATGAAGTGGTAGGGTGCGCGCGCGCGGTTACCCAGTGGCGCGAGGCGGGTGCGCGGTCGCTTGTCCTGCGGCTGACCCGTCCAGATACGCGTGTTGCCATGCTGCGTGCGGCGCGTGTACGTCGTAATCTCACCACTGAGGGCCTGGGTCTGAAGTCAGAACCACGACCGTTCTACATCAATGAGCGCCTAACGTTGACAAACCGGCGCCTTCTTTATCTTGCTAGGCAGTCCGTGGGTCGTATCACATGGTTTGCATGATATATAAATCTGTATATCATCAGCGTACATATGATACTTACAGAATTTAATTTGATTTATCACATCCGCGCAGTAGATTATAAAGAGGATAGGACCTAAAATTGAACCTTGTGTCACTCCGCGCGTGACCTCACGTGTTTTCGAAAGAATTTAGAACCACTCTGATCACAAATTTCGACACACTGAGATCGATTTTGCAGATAACTGTCGAACCATTTGATTGTGGAGTCAGCAAATCCATAGTAATATAATTTAGATAGTAGCTGGTTAACATTAATGAAGCTGAAGGCTCTAGAGAAGTCCAGTAGCGTCAGCAAAGTGCCCTGACCATTGTCTTGTCCGGATAGGATGTCATCAACAACTTTGATCATAGCGGTTGTCGTACTATGTTTTTTTCTAAATCCAGATTGTACGGTGGGAAGGATTTCGTTACTTTCTAGAAAGTCTGTTACTTGTTTTACTACAAGTGTCTCCAGGACCTTCGATACACAACGCAGTATACTCATAGGCCGAATATCTCTCAAGGTGAATGGGTTATTATTTTTAGGAATGGGCCTTATGACTACATGCTGCCAGTCCGTTGGGAACGTACTGGTTTCAATAGATCTGTTCACCAGAGCCGTAATAACAGGTATTATGAGAGGCAAAGACAACAGTAACATGTCCAGTGAAATCCCGTCGAGACCAACCGCATTTGACTTCAAGGACAGTATGATTTGGAGGACCTCAATTTCTTCTACTGTCTTAAGTAATAATTTAGTGGTGATATTACAATTTTGCTTAAAATATGTCATGTTTGATTGTGATGTCTGTAGACTACCGGGCACATTTAGAAAATGGTCGTCTATTACGTCAGGATCGTTAAAGATGTGTGTAGGTAGCTCCGGTTTTCTTTTTATGTTAACAGTTTTTTAATATGTGCCCATAACATTCGAGAATCTTTTTATTTGTTTATATAATGATTATAATAAGCTTTTTTTTCAGTTGTCAATACTTCATTGACTATTTTTTTGAGATCCCTATAATAAGACTTTTGCGAGTCAGTGCCGCTGGTTCGTGCTGCAGTATGTGCCACATCACAACGTTTCATAAGTTGTTTCACTTTATAGATAATTCACGGGTACTGGCGCTGTGTGACATGTAACATCCGGAGGGGTGCATGAACATCGAATAATCCCACCAAACGTCCATTGAATTGCCTCACCATGTCATTGATATCCTTTATGCGGCTTACACTCATCCAATCTATGGTAGACAGATCCACATTGAACTGTTTCATAGTCGATAATATGAAGATTTCTGCGAATAATCCGTATTGGTACCTGTTTTGCCTTCATGATATTTAACGTGCAGGTGATAAAGGTATGTCGACTCAGCTCGGGTATATAGTGAACTGTTACCACAGTATTGTCCACGTCGGTGCTTATGGTGTCAATGAGTGTTTCGCTATATTGTGTGAAATGCGTTGGCTTAGTTACATATTGGTTCAATTTGTGGCTTGTCAGAAAGTCTAATATCTTTTTGGTGTTACTATCTGTAATATTCAAGAGGTTAATGTCAAAGTCTCCTAAAAATACCACATTATTGCACCATGAAAAACAACTCAAACTCTCAGCGAAAGCATCTACAAATGTATCTACGCTAAGCCAAGGCGGTCTGTATGCAGTACCTACCAGTAACTTTTTCCCATTGACATTTGCGCATAACCAAATTTGCTCAACAAGCGGAGCCGGTGGATGAGATAGTGTACGGACAACAACGCCTCGTCGCATAGGTTCTATATGAACGCGCGAGCGTACAGCGGGCGGTCGGGGAATCGCGTCTGGCGACTGTTTGCGATTTCGACTTGTGGATCTACCCGCTCGTAGCCGCTTCGGCACTGTAAAAGGGAAGATTTAACTGCCTCGGTGGCTGAACGGTTACCACGCCGGACTGCCACGCAAAGGTCCCAGGTTCGATTCCCGGGCCGGGAGAAATATTTGTATGACCTACATTTATTTCTCTCGTGAGTTTGGGTGTAATTTGTGGTTGTGTATGTGTGTGTCCATGGCACCCGCGACACAGGGTTTCCCTAGTGCGGGGCTATGTTGAGTGTGTGCGTTATTATTTATACTTTTTACGGTTACGGTTACAGCTCGCTAGTGAGTACCCGGCTTTAGTCTACCGAATTATCATACATCAGCAGGTGTGGCATGAGTATAAATACAGAAGATATTTAAACCATTTGTTTATCACATACAAGAGACATGCAACATCGTCGAAAAATATTAAAAGCAGTGAAAAATGAATAAACGTAACTTCTTTTTATCGTATCGATGGCATACACTTTAATGTTTGCCATCGGGGTGAATGGATTTTCCAATCGGCGTAAGGTACTTGCCGAATATTTCCCAGGGCGCACAAGACGTACTGGAAACAAATGGTATACATATACATAGTGTGAGGACGAACAAGGCGTGCGCCTGATGGTAAGCTATACGCCTGTCCATAACAGTTGCAGTGCCACTCAGAGCTTTAAATCGCAAAGTTCTGAGCTCTACTGCTACCACATACTGCATACATAATACTGTGTTGGTACCAATGCTAATGAATGGGACGTTGCCATGGATATGACAGAAGAAGCACGAGAGTTTAGTTTGAAATCCATCAGAAAAATGCAATGTGCGGTTATGTGATAGAGTGAAGAATACTGTGATCCCAAAACAATCAGATTTGAAAGAGGATGTAGTGACAAAAATAGAAAAAGGTATGTTGAACTAGTTTGGGCACATGTAGCGGATGAATGAATGTAGATTAACTAAATAATTATATGTATTGAGTTAACGTGGAAGGCATCATTGGAAGATAATGGCCACGAAGAACATTCTTAGATTAAATTGAGTGCTCTTAAAAAGGCTGGAGGGAAAAGAATAAGGAGGCCTGTATAAAAAGATTGATGACTGTAAGTGAAGCAAGAGAGGTTTGTCAGTATCGTGTTAAGTGACGATCGAAAAACTCGCTGCCTGCCCTGCCTACTATGGAAATCTAAGGGCATGAGTAAAAAGGGCTAAGTTTTCTTCATGGTGTTTATTTCCTCTTAAGAATCGATGCTTCATCACCTCGAATTCAAATTTTTCCCGTACTGATTCGGTTCGTTTTGTTTGGGTCGAGCGGCAGGGACACTGCTTTTATTGCAGAATTTATTTTTTACGAACGAAATTACAGCTATTTGTACATGTATACTGTATAGTATGTGTTCTATTTAGTTCAGTTGATATACTCATACAAAAAAAAAACATTGGTATATGTAAAGTACTTTGAATACAGGGGTTTTGTTGTCACACCGTATATTAATTAGTGTATATCCACCGCGAACGAAGCTAAACTTCATACATCTGTTTACAGAGGTAGAGTTAAAGGCGATGTGGCCTGCGCTTAACACAAGAGAATAAAAATAAAAATTAATAACAAAAAATACAAACAAAAATAAAAATATTGTATTGTATGTGTGCGCTGTGGTGACAAAACGGCCGTAGCTCAGAGTAATTGCTGCTCAATTAGAGCAGAACACACTGGTACACACATTGCGCGGCAGTTTAGTACTATTATACTACAACGGTTTATGTATTTAACTAAATGTAAACAAACCGTATTGAACTATTTTATGAGGTATTACCCAGTTACTTATTGTAAAATTATAATAAAGTTTTTGAAGACGGTTCTAAATAACCCTGTCCGTCTCTCGTTAGGTCCCAGTTATCTTTTCCTTCCTTCAATTCCGGTTTTTATTCACACTCTTTCTCTGTTCATGCAGTCAGATTTTGGAACGCACTTCCTATTTCTGTTCAGGAAAGTATATCGTTGGTTACTTTTAAATTGTGATGATTGTGATTGATGTAACAAATATTACATCCATTTTATATGTATTATATTATGAAATATGTATTTATCTAGTTTGTAATAGTTTAATATTATCAATAAATAATCAGTACCTGTAAAGGTATCTAACTGGGTGACAAAACTTTCATAGATTTCTCATAGATGGCGCTATGACTAATAGTCGTCGAAAAACCAAATACAAAGACACGACAACAAGCACACAGAAAAATTCGTGAGATCTGGCACGGTATGCTAGAAGACGTCGGTTCGAATCCGGCCGGATCGAAAGAATTTTTTGTGAGTGTTCGATCTTTGTATTAATAATTATAATAAACATGATATTTAATTAAAGATTTTTAATAATAAATAACACATTTAACATTAAACAATTTTCCTACGATAAACAACCTAAAATCCAGCCTTTAAAAAATGACAGCTAATATGCGACCAAATTAAAGAGTACAGCAGTAACATGACTTGAGAAACTCACTACCCTAGGCTTGATTCATATCGCGTAGACGCTACGCGACGCGGAGCGGGCTGCATTCAAGCGAGCAATGCAAGATAAATTTTATCCTCAACAAAATAAGGTAACATTTCATTAAACAAACGAAGAAAACGAAGATGCAGTAACCGACGGCGGGCTGCAGAGAGTTGCGGTAGGCGCAATAAAATGCAATTTACTACTACGAATATAATATAAGACTACGAAGTTTGCTCCGCGGCACTACCCAAGATAACTAGGCGGCCAAAAACATTTCATTTTCAAAATTGGTTCTACCGGGAATCGAACCCGGAACCAAGAGCTACAAAGTTCGCTCCGCGGCACTACCCAGAACACCTAGACCAAAAACACTTTAGAAAAGTTCATTTTCAAATTGGTTCTACCGGGCGTCGAACTCGGAGCATAAGACTACGAAGTTTGCTCTGCGGCACTACCCAAAATACCTAGGTGGCCAAAAACACTTTAGAAAAAGTTCATTTTCAAAATTGGTTCTACCGACAGTCGAACCGTGAACCAAGACCTACAAAGTCGCTCCGCAGCACTACCCACAACACTTAGGCCAAAAACACTTTAGAAAAGTACATTTCCGAAATTGGTTCTACCGGTAATGAAACCCTGGACTTTCTCATCCATGCAA